GTGTATTCTGGAATTACCATTCTTTGCAGTGTTATCCATAGTTTGTTATGATACACACTGTCAAATACCTTTGCATAGTCAATAAACACAAGTAAACATCTTTCTGCTATCGCTTTTAGCCAAGACACATCTGACATCAGCAATGATAATCCATAATTCCATGTCTTCTGAAACCAGCTGGAATTTCTGGCATATCCCTGTTAATGTACTACTGTGCAATCATTTTTTAATTTATCTTCAGCAAAATTTTACTAGCATATGATATTAATGATACTGTACAATGAGTACCACATTCCGTTGGGTCATCCTTCTTTGGAATTGGCACAAATATGGATCTCTCCAGTAGGTTGGCTGGTCTTCCAACATTGCATCAGTTTGTTGAAACATTAGTTTGTATCCCATCAATTCCTGGAGCTTTGTTTTTTGCCAGTGCCTGCAATAGTTTGTGCTTCTTCCTTCAATTACATCGTTTTCTTGATCATATGCTACCTCTTGAAATGGTTGGACCTTGACTAATTCTTTTTGGTACAGTACCTCTGTATTTCCTTACATCTTTTCATGCACTATTTTGCCCATTGTTGTTGTTGTTGTTAGGGGCCATCGAGTCGGTACAGACTCATAGCAACCCTATCCTTCAATATTGCAAGTCAAGGCTTGAATATTTTCTTCAGTTCTTTCATCTTGAGAATTGCTGAGCATGCTCTTCCCTATTGGTTTTCTGACTCCAAGTCTTTGCACATTTCATTCAAATATTTTACTGTGACTTCTCAAACTGCCCTTTGAAATTTTCTGTTCAGCTCTTTAACTTCATTATTTTTCCCATTACTTTAGTTTCTCTTTGTTCAAGAGCAAGTTTCAGAGTCTATTCTGAATTCCATTTTAGTTTTTTTCTTTCTTTCCTGTCTTTTTTTAATGATCTTTTGCTTTCTTCATGTATGATGATGTCATCCTACAAGTCTTCTGGGCTTTGGTCATTAATGCTGTCTAATGCATCATATCTGTTCTCAAGATGGTCTCTAAATTTAGTTGGGATATGCTTAAGGTCATTTTGCCTTTCATGGACTTGTTTTTATTTTCTTCAGCTTCATCCTAAACTTGCATATGAGTATTAATGATCTGTTCTGCAGCTGGCCCGTAACTTTATTTTTACTGATGATAATGAGCTTCTCCATTGTCTCTTCCCAGGGTTTTAGTCACTTTGATTTCTTTATACTGCGGTCCATATGTATGGTCACCTTTTATGTTTTTAAAAAAAGGTATTTGCAATAAAAACATTGTTGGTCTTGTAAAAATCTGCCATGATATCCACAGCATCATTTCTATCACCAAGGCTGTATTTTCTAACTACCTGTTCTTTCTCTTTGTTTCCAATTTTTGCATTTTAGTCACCAGGAATTGTCAATGAATCTTGATTGCATGTTTGATCATTTTTAGGTTGAAGAAGTAGAATTCTTCAATTTCATGATCATTGGTTTTAGTTGTCTGTGCATAAATTTGAGTAATGAGTGGTATTAACTGGTTTTCCTTGTGCTACTGTTGCTGCATTATGTCACATAAGTTCTGACTCACAATGACCCTGTATAGGGTTTCTGAGGCTATAAATCTTTATGGGAACAAAAAGCCTCATCTTTCTCCCATGGAACAGCTAATGGATTCAAACTTTTGATCTTGTGGTTAGCAGCCCAATGCATAATCCACTATACTACCTTGTCTTTCTTGTAGACGTATGGGTATTATCCTATTTTGGACACCATTATACTTAAAGATATATCTTGAAATGCTCTTTTTGACAAGAATATAACAACATTCCTATATAAGTTGTTGTTTCTGGCATCATAAGTCAATACTGTTCGTTTCCACTCAGTAATGCCTAGGATATCAATCTTTATGTGTTCCATTTAATTTTGATGACTTCCAGTTTTCCTAGGTTCATACTTTGTACTTTCCGATTATTAGTGGATGGTTGCAGATTTTTCTTTTCATTTTCAGTGGTGACTTATCAGCAAATGAAGATCCCCAAAACGTTGCTCTATCCAAGTCATTAAAGTCTACTCTACTTTGAAGTGGCAGCTTTTCCCTAATCATGTTTAGAGTGCCTTCCAACATGAAGGGCTCATCTTCTAGCACTATATCTGGTAACATTCCATTGCTGTCCATAATGCCTAACCCACACCATCACCAGGTCTCCTTAGCAGAAGTATTGTTGGGTGCTATCAAATCAATTTCAATTCATAGCAACCCTATGCACAATGGAACATAGAGTCCTGCACCATCCTTACAACTGTATGTGTTAGCCCAGTGTTGCTATCACTATGTCAGTCCATCTTGTTAGGGGTCTTCCTCTTTTTCATTAAACCTGTACTTTTCCAAGTATGATGTCCTTCTCCAGGGACTAGTTCTTTCCAGGGACTGGTTCTTCTTGATAATATGTCCAAAGTAAATGAGACAAAGTCTCTCCATCCCTACTTCTAAGGAGGATTTTGGTTATACTTTCAATATAGATCTGTTTGTTCTTCTGGCAGTTCGGAGTACTTTTAATATTCTTCACCAGCACCATAACTCAAATGCATATATTTTTCTATCATCTTCCTTGTTCAATCCCCAACTTTCACATTCATATGAAGGAAAATGTGTCCATATTGTAGGAAAACATATTAACAACCTCCAAAATACAAGTGACACAACCTTGCTTGTTGAAAAAGAAGAGGACTTGAAACGCTTTCTGATGAAGAAGATTATAGATTTCAGTATGGGTTGCTACTCAACATAAACAAAACAAAAATCCTTACAACTGGAGCAATACATAACATGATAAATGGAGAAAAGATTGAAGTTGTCAAAGACTTAATTTTGCTTAGATCCATAATCAACACGCTTGGAAGCAGCAGTCAAGTAATCAAAGGAGTATTGCATGAGGCAAATCTGCTACACGAGACTTCTGTAAAGTGTTCAAGAACAAAGATGTTACTTTGAGGACTCAGGTATACTGGTGTTTAAAATACTGCTGCCGTAGCTTACAGCATCTCAGCAACATCCAAGTCACTACAGTACAACTTGTATTGACAGGTGAATGGTGGAGCAGAAGCATAGAAGGCATACAAATAAATAACATGTTTTAACATTATCATATGACTGGAATGCAGAGTTTATGAAGGATTGAAAATAGAAAGGAAAGTTAACCTGGCCTTAATTACTATACTATACTAAGGAATTTGAGACTTCTTTGGTATCATTAGGGAGTCACTCAAGCTATTTGATTAGCTGAAGGTTAAACCTAAGATTTGAGAGGACAGAATTTATAGATTATGAAAGATGAAGAGGCAGAAATTAGGGGTAAGGATACCAGATAGAAGGTTATTAAGATTTTCATCATGTGGAGTAGGAATATACTGTTAGAGACAGAAGTTACACACTTATGTACTTTAAACCTGGAGTTTAAAGTATTCTCATAAAATGGGTTTAAATGTTAAGAGGAGTGGTACACTTTTCTGCACTTAAGAAGCTGTTTGGTGAGACTAAATATAAATACAAACAGCTTTCCTATTGTGGATGTGTCAAGTAACTCCTTTTTACAGTCATCTGTCCCATTCTTGTTCTCCTGCATCTATCTACTTACTTCATACTCTAATCTCCCCCTCCTGTTAATATTTTTGCACACATACATAAGGTTTGTTAGTCTTGAGCTCAATTTTGGGTCTTCTACTTAGTATTTTTTCACATTTGTCTCCTGAAATGCTGTCATCTCCCTCCTTGCTAGGGTTTCTGTGTGCACTTCACCAAGTTCCTGTAGAGAATGTTTTGTGAATATTTTGCATACTTCTTCATGACATGTTTTTAATAAAAGATAACTTATTCTAGGACATTAGTTAGAAAATTGCCACAGAGTGTAATTTTATTAGAAATTACAATTATCAAATAATGAGGTGTACTTTTATTAGAAATTGTAGTTATCAAATAGTGAGGAACATTGCGCTAATCCCCTGACACCTCAGGTTACTGGATTATTGCATAGTGGTCATTACTGGTCATCCCTCATTATCACAGGCAAGAATATTTAAGAATGTTTCTGTTTTAGGTTTTTAATGACTGTGCTAAACTCCTGAACAATCTCTGACAGATTTGTTTATTTCCATCTGGGACAAAGCCTTGATGCAGCAACACAAAAGCTTACACAGATTTAGAGTATGAGTAATGTGATTAGACTTGTTAAATTATAAATAATAATAATGTTCTCTTTTACCAAGAATTAAAATATGTGCTAGTAATGTTTTGTTGTTTTTTTTTTTTGCAGTGGCCTACATGACTTACATCCCCAGTGTTGTAGCAACCATAAAAAGCCTGATAATTACAAAATACTAAAAGAGTTTTCTTTTATAGTTGGACCATGGACGGTTTTTGTACATTGGGAGCCAAGCATCCCAAAGCATTGCAGCTCACCTAGATAACCAGGCCCTAGCGGACAGTTCCAGAGCTATTTCTCGCACCAGTGAGAGTGACCCGGTAAGTTGCTAATGTGTGTGTGTATTTTTTTTTTTTCAAGTTTCATAATTTGTGAAGTTACCTTCATTTTACATACGAGGAAAATTGAAACCCAATGAAGCTAAGCGCACTTAGCATCTTGGTGTGTTGCTATAGGATAACAAGGTGGTTCATACCCTCCAGCCACTCCTGGAAAATTCTATACAATGTTGCTATGAATCAGAACTGACTTGAAGGCACTGAACAACAACAGATAGACAATGTAGCTGAAACAGCATTCTGGAAGCCAGCTTTTCCCAGTATTTAATCTAACTGTGGAAACATAAAGCACTCAGGTAGACTTATGTGTTCTAATATAAATCCTACCAATATGAACTCAACACAGTTCTAAAGATTTTGTTGGATATAGAGTTGTTGTGGTTAAGTGTCGTCAAGTTGGTTCCAACCCATAGCGACCCTGTATAGGGTTTCTGAGGAGTGACTGGTGAGCTTGAACCACCAACTTGGCAGATCAAATGGCTTTGTGGTCTGACGTTTTAACCCACAGCGCCACACCAGGATATGGTGTAGTCTAAATTCAATTCCCTATAAGATAAGCTTACGCCTCACTGATCTTATTTTACAATGAATTAAGAAACTTTGCTTTAAAAGACGATATAGTAAATATTTTAAGCTTGTGGACCAGCTATTCAACTGTATTATAAATGAATGGGCGTTGCTATGTTCCAGTAAAATTTTATTTACAAAAATGGGTGAGTAGAGAACAAACAAGATGGCGGATAGGGTGGACGTATAGTAGAGAGCTCTGCAGACCAACAACAACACAGAATACCCAACCAAGCAGGCTCAGGGGATGGTCCCAGAACTCTGAACCACATATAAAGGAATACTTAGAAGGTTGGAAGGCT